AGTTTAGATTGCTCAACACGCGATTCAACCAATCAGAAAACATCTTCACTATGCTATGCTAAGTACTTACATAATTCCCGCCTTAGATACTCATCACTTCCAACAAATCTATACCTGGGTGATCAGATAGATCTCAACACTCGATCCATAGAGCTCCAGAGAGAAAAACATCAGACGATATCAATCTTAGTTATTTCCTATTGGCCTGGAAAGGTCTTTGGGGTTCCATGACAAGTCTACAGAAGCAATGAGTCAAAAAAAACGGGCTTGAGGTTAATGTATAAAGAAGATAAAGAATTCAAAAAACGGAATGTAAGAAAATGAAAAATTTCATACATCATCCAGACTGAAGGTTTTTTCTTTTATAAACAGATTCGAAATTCGGATTCGATTAGGGTTTTTTTCTTCTTCTTCTTCTTCTTCTTCTTCTTCTTCACACACATACATATGAATGAATGAAGGATGAACTTTTGTTTTTTCAATCATCTCACATTCCTGTCACTTTTTCTTTTGGTGATATTCTAAAGACCATTTGCAAACTTATGAATGAGAGATTGGATCAGATTCCAATAAATCATTGATCAAGAGCTTTATGAATCATCCATCAGTAGGGTAAAAAAATCAAAGTGAAATCTTCAGACAGACATGAAGCATTTTTTTGGGCACCCGGATGGGGTTGAGAGGAGAAGGAGAGGTTAGGTTGGGTGATCGGATACCTGAAAGTCTGAAAAGTTTGAGTAAGAGAAAAATCCATCAGAGAGAATGGCTTTGATGGATCTGGCCTAAGACAGGTCCCATGAACCGCAAATGTCTGCCCAAGTTTGCGCTTACTTTGAACTTACTAGGTAGATGTGAAGCCTTATGATCAAATCCAAAAGAACTCTAAGGTCCTACATCAAAAAAGTAATCTATCTTCTCAAACTCATCATGTTTTCCATTCAAAGAGAGAGAGAGAGAGAAGTACAGAAAACTTTCACAAATCATGAATCATAGTTAAAAACCCCTAGCTCGATCCACTTGAGATTCTTGTAAGATGGTGGATCAAATTCTCTGATGATCACATTTGATTTTACATAAGCTGTGGAATGTTGATTGACAAAGCTAAGGATTGATTTAATCTTTGTTTATTTTCAAAAAATGGTCTATCATCTCATCTTAGCATTGAATGATGGAATGGGTTCATTGAAAACTTCCTTTCATGATCACAGTCTCTATCTTATGCTAACATCCTTCAACCATTCCCGCCCCACATCTCTCAGTTCAAAAAGTTCTAGAAGCTTATCAAATATTGAAGTTAGCGTTTTGATTTGATATCTCCTTGAATCCTAATCACTTTCATTTTCATTCACCCATAAAACCTTTTTTGTGACTTTTTCATTCTACGATTCTCACTTCATCTGATTTTCCAAAGATTTCAAGACTAAAGTAAATCAAATTCATTCTTTTCTTTCAGATCAAATCCAACTTGGTACTTGTATGAAATCCCAATTAAAAAATTTCTTTATGAGATTCTAATAGAACATTGAAGTACTTAGATATGAAGAAGATATAGAATGTGTAGATGATTTTCATAGAATTATGTATCAAGGGAAAGAAAGATACAAGATGAAGATTTGAAAACATAAAAATATAATGAAAATATAAAAATATAAAAATGCCATAGAGTGAAAATCAAATCGAAACATGATCTGATTCCATGATCGAAAGTCTATCAAATCCAGGTAAAGGTGGTCTAATAGGATAAGGTGAAGAAGGTCCCACCATTTGATGTGATAAATACAATCCACCTTCGATTTCAAGTTTAATTTCTTCTTCTTCTTTTCTTCTACTTCTACTTCTATACGATCTATCATCTATCGTTAATCTTCTTGAGAACCTTTTAAAAACCTTTTCAACTTCTGAATTCCTTTCGTTTGTGATCCCGATTCTCTTCTTTCTTAATCTCTTCTCATTCATCTCAAACTTTGATTCTAACTTCTCATCCTTTACTTCTCTTGACCTCTCATACAATTCTTCATCTTTATCACTAAGCCAACTTTTCCTTTTAGAGTTTGAGGTCTCATTGGCTGACAAATCGAATGGTTTAAATTGAGATCCCTTCTCAGTCTTTCTTAATTCTCTACTTGTTCCATGACAAGAACGAGATCGAAAATGCTGAGATGGATAGGCTTGATGATGCTCTTCAAGATATCTTGTAGGTTGAGTAGACTTAAATCCAGAAGTTAATTCTCTAGGATCGATTTGAAGTTTTGATTCATTCGATCGAACCCTTCGCCTTCTTCTTCTTCTGTTTCCACTCACCATTCCTCTTCCATTCTCTTCACTCCATTCAGGTTTTCTTAACTTTACATAATCTCCTAAGTCTTCCTCTTCATTCAATCCAACTCCCACTGCAACTCCCAAGACTTCAGTTTTCGGTCTTAGCATACGTTCAAATTCTAATTCTCGATTCATCACTTTCTCCTCTTCTCCTGCCCTTATCCCACTCACATTCCCACTCCATCCGAATTCACGTTCTCTCAAGCTCATCCATGATTCAGGGACCGCCTTGAGTGGATCAGGACTATCGACGGAGTAGATTGATTCGGTATCACCCGCAAACATATTAAGCTGTGATCAAAAGGATGTCAGCTAGTTGAATATTGATGATATATACGAACCAGAGTGCAACACACTATATACCAAATGAGTTTTGATATCTCACAAGCAATTTTTGGATGCTCACTAACACAATCAGAAGCGTCTTGATCTTCAAATGAGGAAAAGAAATCCCTATTGGAAATAGTTGATTGGTGGTCTTATGAGTTAATTTTATGATCTTGATCTACACTGATGTTTGGATTTCAATGCACGATCGCTGGATTGCTACTCTGATGAAGATCTAGTTTCATGACTAGAAATCGGCTGCGTAGTATCACACTGGTGCATAGTTTCAATGAGTCAAAGGCTATGATGTTTGCTGGGTGAAGCACTACGTTATGATCAGATTGATAGATGATTTGCAGGCCATCAAATCTGCTCACCTTACCTTTCAATGTCTTCTCGCAAATACCCATTGGTAGGACAACACCTTCATAGCTCTAACAAGTTTTCGAATCTAACTTGAGGAACGTGACGAGAGACGTAGGCGAAGCTTTTTGGGTTTCACTGAGGATGATGGATTAATTTCTCTTGCGGAAACCAATCTGAACACATGCGTGGATTTCATGCTCTAATTTTTTCACGGTTCAATGGGAGAGACATATTGAGTGGGGTATGGTCAATCACCCTCATCTCCTCTCATCATCTCCTCACTTGTCCGCCAAGGTTGCTCATCTAATTCAGCAGTCAATGGACGAAAATCCGGCCCGATCTCCTCGTCGGCCCGATGGACGCTCACGATCGCGTGACTCTAGAACGCGTGGTTGGCATTGAGTGTTAAAGGTGGCCTCGAAGATCAAAACGCAAGATGTCGATGTCCGATTTGTTTCCTAATCAAAAGATAGTTTTACTCGATGGTGGAAACGGAACGAGCCTAGCTGACGATTCAGCCAATGAACTTGATACTGCCTTATGGTCTGCTACTCTCTTGGTCAAACATCCTGAGAGAATTGCTCGCCTACATCATCTGTGGGAGCAAGCTGGAGCTGATATCATAACAACCTGCAGGTGAGGGTTACGGTTGTTTTGATCAGGTAGAATGACGAAGAGAACGGGTTTTTGACTGACAGTGTTGACCATGTGGTGATGAAGTTATCAAGCTACGGTTCAGGCTTTCGAAAATTATCTAGGCAGACAAGCGCCTTGGGCAGAAAACGAAGAGGGAAAACCATCAAATGAACCCAACGAAAATGGCTCACTTCCAAATCGACTCCACTCTCCCCTCGACTTCTTGCGGAGCTCGATCGGGGTGGCTCATGGGTCTGTGTCAACTGCCAAATTAGGACTATCTCTTGGTCCATACGGGGCCACGCTTACTCCACCTCAAGATTATGCAGGCGTATACCCCAGTCCTTATGATCAATTGGAGCCGTTGAAGAAATTTCATCTTGATCGACTTCTTGATTATGCTCAGGATGAAGTCACTTGGCGAAAGGTAGACTTGGTGGTTTTCGAAACGATTCCGAATCTTCTAGAGACTCTCGCAGTTCGCTCAGCTTGGTCTACACTCCTAAAGCTACTCGAAAACCGGTACGAGAGAAGCGAAGGTGTGAAATGGTGGGTAAAACCTTGGGTTCTAAGCTTCGTCTTCGCTGGTTCAACAGGACAATTCGCTTCAGGAGCTTCACCAACCGAAGTTTTTGACGCAGCTTTTGGCCTCAAGAAAGATCCTGAGCAAATCTTGCTCCCGAGACCATCTGCTGTGGGTGTCAATTGCACTAAGCTACAGTTTATCGATCAGATCATCTCTGCATGGACCCACTCATCTGAATCTCAAAGCTCTCCACCCTGGCTATGGATGTATCCCGACGGCGGATTGGTTTATGATGTTGACCGACGGTGTTGGTCAGGTGGACAGATTGGGACTGATGAATGGGCTCGACAATTGATGAAGATTGCTAAGTCCGCTTCACTTCATTGGCCCGGAGTGGTAGCAGGCGGCTGCTGTAAGACTGGGCCAGCTCATATTCGTGCTCTCAAAGAAATTCGAGATCGTTCGAGATAGTTAAGCTTCAAAACGATTCAAAATTCCAAGCGTGATGAAGATTACCGCGTTATGAGAACTCACTCCTTCTTTTCTGATCTCCATCCTATATCACTATATCTCGAAATCTCATTCCTTGATGTGTATTTGACCGTTGCAATGCAGTTTCACCTTACACTCCAAGCGGTGATCCACATGCTCAAAGATCACAGGTTTAATTAATTGGAGGTGCAATATATCGCTATCATTTTGGTATGAGGCTTGATTGGAAGTAAAGTTTTTCACTCCATGCCTCTTGTCGTTCTTCGGAATTCTCAAAGACCGCTATCAACGGTGTATTGTTGATGATATTACCACAATTGTTTAGTGCAATACAGGCCTTATGGTCTAGTCGTATGATTCTCCCTTTGGGTTTCCATTCTTGGGAGAGGTCTCGGGTTCAATTCCCGATGAGGCCCTGTGTTTTTTTCTCTACTGAGGGACGGGCCCTGTGTCATCTCGTTCAACGAGGTTGGTGTGGTAGTCAATTTTTGAATCTTAGCAGTCAAACAAGTAAACAAAAGACGCGTCCAAGTTGAATCAATCAAGCATGAATCCTTTTTTTTTTTGATAAATTCATTATCTCAACTCAAAAAAAATTCTTCGTATTCATCAAGTTTTGGTTTTCAACTTACAAAAAAAAATGTATAATAGAGATAATTCATAAAAACAAAAAAAAAGAAAATTTCACACTAGATAGGTAAAAATGGTTTATTGGGTTTTTTTGTTTTTTCTTTTGACAAACAAACACTATCTAAGAAAGTTTGAGTTTGAGTCTTTTTTTGGATTTTGCCAAAAAAAATTTATCAATCAATCAATCAATCAATCTCAATCAATTCTTCATATTTATATATATATATTTTCTTACATACATCCATACAATCTTATCAACCAAACTTTCCAAAAAAAAAGAAACAAAGAAATACCAAAACCAAAGTTTTGATCCGATTTCTTTCTTTCTTTTTTTCTCAAAAAAATTTCATCCTAATCATTTCATTTCCCTCATAAATGACTAAATAAATAAATGAATGAAACCCTTCCATTTTTTTTCCCCATTAATTCATTTTTTCAAAAACTCAATCTCCATCTCTTCTTTCATTCATTTCTTTCTTTCTTTTTCCAATCAAGGAAAAACTAAGATTTGATGAAACCCAGAATGAATCGAATCGAAATCGGTTGGAGATTGAGATTGAGATTGAGTTGGATTTACTTGATGATTTTCTATTGCTTTCACCAATTCAAATTCTCTAAAAATCTTCACTTCCCTAACCCTATCTTCTCCATCTCCATCTCCATCTCCATCCTCTTCCTCATCTCCATCCTCTTCCTCTTCCTCTTCATTCACATCAAGTTCATTAATCCCATCCAAGATCTCTTCAATCAATCCACCTCCACCTTTCCTATTCCTTTTAAAAGAAGGATAATGAAGGATTTCAAATACCTTCACTTTAGGAATCTCAATCAATCCTAAAACAACAGGTCTTAACCAAACCTCAATCGATCGTTTCATTCTAGGTAAGAGTCTAATCCTATCCATCACTCTGCCTCCACTCATCATCCATTCTTCACTCATCTCAAATCGATACTTGATCATTCGAATTCGATCTTCACTTTCGTTTTCAATCAAATATCGTACCTTACATCCTTCATAAATCTTTAAATGGGGTGGTAAATCATGACTGATCAAGATCCTGGGTTTCTTTCGAATTGGAAATTCGAACGGATGAATCGTAAGATGAGTCGGATTGATTTCTAAACTTTCTTCCATCCTTCTAAAACAAGGCATTCATTCATGAGCTACAAGTGTGGATGAATTTTTTCTTTTCGTTCAAGAGTGTAGAGTGAACCAATTTACCTTTCCCATGTGATCTTTAAAGCACAACCAGTGACCATGTCTGATTGGAATCTGGTGGCAACTTCGATCAGATAGCTGATCGAAAGTGCCGAATCAGGTTCTAATTCGAAAAACACCCATCCAAGAGAACCATAGAGAGATCAATGATAACCCCAACTGAAAGTTTAGTAAAACAAAGGTATCATCTTAAGGCTCACCAAGGGAATAGGAATCATCTTCTTGATCAGATGATATTGAACTAGACAAAACCCTCATGGGAGTTACACCGTTCTAAAATCAAAGAAAAAAAGATAAACCAAAACGAAAAAAAACATGAGTAAACCTCTTAATTTTTTTTTCTTAAATCATTTTCGAAACCCATACCTCACACTGCATCTCAATTTGTTGCAAATTCAAACCAATCAAATGATTCGATTTAATAATCACATTCACCAATACTCGATCCGATCCATCCCAAAGATCAGGTAAAGTGCAATCCAAGAGTTTTCGATTGGTTGGATCGCGATTTGAATTAAGATATCTTACATCGAATTCACATAAGAAGGGTGCTTTAACTTGTAGTAAGATCGATTTGATCAATTGCCATGATGAGAAGAATGGTGAATGGCTTTCTTCCAAGATCGAATGATCTTCAATTAGGTTAGATGTCACTTGAGATGGCTTGGTGGCATTGATCATCAGTTTAATCTGTCGGTCACCAACCTGGGTCGGTTGTAGGGTTATAGTCTTTTCCATTGATTGATGAGGCTTGAGTGAACACAATGTGAACTCCTTTGAATTGATCAGATGACTCTCTTCATCGATCACGAGGATATCTTTCTCTATCATCATCACCATTTGGATCAGTCTTCATTAGCCAACACAATCAATCAAACCGACCATTAAAAGACTAACCTGAGACAGGATCCCGACATTCAACACCTAATTTGAAGATCAAATTCTCATCTTCTTCATCATTATAAAGTTTGACCTTGATTGGCACTCTCTCATCCAATAACACCAATTCTTTCATTTCAATGTCAGCTCTAGCAAGTGAAACCTTATCCCGTACCCTGTTTGATCATCAATCGAAAACATTAACCATCAAAAGAATACGATTCATGCGCCCAAGCTGATATGACTCACTGACAAAAGGATGATAAGGTTTCAGTACTTAGAAACTTCAATTCAGTAGACTTCTCATCCACTTCATGAGCCCATCTCAAATTGAAATGATTCTGATGAGTGTTAATAGGTTTCGTCTTCAATTCAAGTAAGAAAAGATCGTGTGTATTTCTTGAAATGAATTTCACTAATTCTAATCTCACTTTACCCACCTTCAAAGGTTTAAATTGACCATTGAAAACCATCAAATTAGATTTCTCATCCCATCTCAAATCTTTTTGAAAGATTAATGAATCTTTTGAAAGCTCATGAACCTCTAAAGTTCCTAAACCTCCAACTTCTTGAGCTTGATGATTGATGATGATCGTTGGAAAGTTTGTGAAATGTAATTCACAAGAAGTGAATGAAAGATGATAACCTGGAAATGGATTCTCTGCAGAAATCCTGACTTGAAAATCCATCGAGTCCCCTAACTCCACCGAAGGATGCCAAAAAACCACTTCGGATCGTACTGTATCATAAGAATGAGGTTAATTCACTTTTTCTTAGTGTGATTCCCTAATTTCAAATCTAACAGTTGATAGCGTACATACAAGGTGATGTTGAATTGGTCATATCCAATGTGATAAGACGAGGGGGTTCATTAGATGCATTCCCTGGGATCTGAATATCGAATAAGTATATCAAAGATTTCAAACAGGATTGAATCAACTCATCAGACTTACTTGAATCAAATCTTGTAATTCGTTACAAATCTTAACCTTACTTTCGATCGGTACAGTCGACGAATTCGAATCAATCAATTCATAACTGATTGATAATAATTTCTCAAATTTCTCCACTTGAAGATTCTCATGATCAAATCGGATCAAAGGATATTCGATTTCACGTTTCAGAGATTCATAAAACTTCATCAAGCTGTAATGTAGGATCGGAGTGAATTTTTCTTTTCGAGAAGAAGAGACAATCCTTTCAAAGAATTTGCCAGCCGTTAGATAATCTTGATGATCGAAATGGATCATAGCAATCTTAAATGCCAAGAATAATGTCATCCGATTCGAACCAAATCGTTTGAAGAGCTCATAGGCTTTAGTCAAAAGCTAAACGATCAATCAAGCTAATGTCAGTCAATCGATTTGAAAATTCACTTGATTCTATTGAATGAGTAACAGATGATACGAACACCGATGATCAGTTCACTATGATTAATCTTTCTTTCGTAAGCCAAAGCAGCCGAGCCTTGGAAGGTAGCAGCCTGATCCTTTGATTTAGCAATCGATCTCATCTGTTCCTAAGATGTTCATCAAAAGATCAACATCAAAAGTAAGAAGAGGAAAATGCTTTAAATTTAATCAAGATCAATCGACTCACTTCAGCAAGTTCACTAGCTTTGAATTTATCACGTCGTTGAATAGAACACAAAGCACTTTGATAATGATAAAATCCAGGATGTAATAAAACATTAGCCGGAATAAGAAGATGATTAGATGAAGTGTTCAATGAATTTCCAAAGGCTAAGAAATTAAAGTCATTGAATGGAGTGGATGGATTGGGTAACAAGTTAGGTAACTTTAAACCGTTTCGACATCCTAATTCAATTAATTCTGCCAACATCGTATATTGTTTAGATAACCAAGACCAATATTCAAAGGTTTCATCACCTATACCCCATCCATTACAAAGCTCTCGGAATCGATTGAGATGTTTACGAAATTGATCCATGGCTCTTGAAGTTTCTTGAGAATAAAGATAAAATTTACAAATCTAAAGGAGAAAAGAAAAATCAAGTGAAGATGAATAGATGAACAAGAAGGCTTGCTTGAGAAGGCAGCTTCACTTACTTTGATATTGATACAATCTATCAAGACTTTAGCTTCAGCCCATCTTTTCGTTCTAGGCGGTAAGATAGCCGTACTACTAAACATTCCACTTAACCCGATCCAACAATCTTCATAAGACTTCAAAGCCACATCATACTCTTGTCTAAATTCAGCAAAGGTCGCCAATTTGAAATCCGCACGAACGATCCAACCCGGTTGACCTAATTGATGAAGGATCGGTTGAGTGGATTTAGAATGAGGATGAGGATGATGTAGATGAGATGGATTGACTAGAGAGTTATTCCTTGATCGTTTTCTTCTCACCTTACGTGAATGTTCGCGATAATAATCTAAGGCAGATTCAAAGACTTCGGATTTTAAGGTTTTCACAAATGATCCGATTTCTGATTCGATCACAGGTGAGAGGATGAAGAGAGAAGATCTTGAATCTAATCCAGATTGTCTTCTGATATAACTTAATCTGATATCTAAAGAAGGATGATCTAACATTGTCTTAGAGGTTAAGATCACCACTACTAACTTAATCCCTCTCTCACTGGTGAGTTTCTTTCGTTCGAGAATTTCATAAATCAATTGATGATCAGATGATTTTTGTTCTTCGAATTCCTTTGAATCCATC